GATATAACATTAGACTTTTGAGGAACCTGAAAACAATAAATATCATCTTAGTAAGAAGTTTAAGCAAATTTCAGCTCATAAAATTCTAATTATTTGGTTAAAATGAACCTCACAAAGTAACTAACGAATTGAAGTTTCAAAAAGTAAGTAACGGAATTAAATGAATGCTAGTATGGCATAGCACTTGAATATAAAAAGAAAATATTGTTAGAGCAGAGCTAAATTTAAAGGTATGAAATTAATATTATATCACAAATGAATGGTTGATTTTTGTTTTTTTTTTTTCGCAGGCGCAGGTATGTACACATAGCTTTACAAGGTATAGCGAGAGAAGGAGAAGCCGATAGATCATCCGCGCTTGTCGAAGCTCCCGACGCAATCGCATTCCCGAAACATCCGCTGCCGGACAGACGGCGCCCCGGTAATGCATCAATCCGCGCGTACAACTCTCTGGATGTGTGTATATGTGTAGGGGCGCTCATCCTCGAACGCTGGACGTTAATTGAGTTAGTGCAGTGAGCCTCGAACGAAATTAACGACTTTCCGCGAGTGCCGTTGCGCGTTCGTTAAGGCGACTCCGCGTTTTTTACTTCGAACAAACTATTTTTAAAATAGAGCTATAGCTACGCATTTCGAAAACTGCAGAGCCGTATCCATTAAAAGGAGCTTAAAGGATAGACAGTAGTTGCGGGCTCATAAACTGAAAATTCGAGTTGCGTGTTTGGAAGCACCATTACTTGCCACTCCCCCCCCCTCTCTCTCTCTCTCTCTCTCTCTCTTTTACGAACTGTTTTTAAAAGCAGTCTATTCGCGCTCGTACTGTTCGTTTTTGAAGGATCTTCAGTTCCTCGTAAATAAGGCAACGAAACGTCTTCGCGCGCACAGTGCGCACCTGATCTCCTCTCCTTAGAATAGACCGTATAACTTACGCGCGCACTTCTTTATACTTATTTTGTGGTCTTTAGAGCACCTATCGAAAGGAATATTCACAAATTGTATATTCCATTCGACCGGAGATTTACTGGAAAACTAATTTTCGAAACAAAGGCAGTTTGTTGCTGTGGAGGGCACGCACATCACCTAGGATGGCTTTGCAAGCGTAGCGCGGTCATTAAACCTATCAAAATGAAGGTACCGAGCATAAAACACACGCGCGCGCGCGTGCGCGGAGAGTATAACCGACGGTCGGTAAAGACAACCGTTTTCTTCATCCTCCTTTACGACGTCTATTTTGCCAAAGCAAGCTTCTCATTTCACTCGACCCGTTCGGTATATATATGTATAGGCATAAACTTCTGAAACGACTATTAATAATCGACCTGATATAACTTTTTCTCCAAAGCAATTTTTACGGAAAGAAAAAAGAAAGCAAGTTATTAAGAGAAATTATGAACGACTTCAAAGACTCGTACCCGATTTTCTCTTTTCCGTTTTCAATTTGCCGTGCGCTGGCTTGCTCGATACGATTATCGAGGAAAAAGCGCACAGCAGTGCATGTCCAGTACTTGAGCGGCTTTGCGGTCCGAGCAGTTTTGTTGAGAATCCGTAACGATCGTTTTCTCCCTCCCTTCACCTTATCGCGAAAATGCCTCTAAGAAGTAATAGAATTTTTTTATCTCTCCCTTGCGATGATGACAATATAACTTTGAGGATTTCCAGATACTCTCATTTTTTTTATCTCGCAAAATCGATTATACAATGTAATGAAATATCAACTTTGGATAGTCTCACTTCCTTTTTTTTCTAAGAATAGATATTATTCTTATATTATGGGTATATATACGCTGCCGATGATAATTCTAATGAAGAAGAAGTCCCATTCATCGCCGCGAACTGACAAAACAGTTGATACGCTCGTGATAAAGCGACCCCGGCGTATAATATGAATGAACGGTCGCCGCCTCGCCGCAGAATAAAAGAGAGCTACTGCGTGCATGGCTTCCACTACCCTCTCTTCCTTTTTGCTCTTTCTCTCTTTTTTTGCAGCTTTGTTCTCCTTTGTCGGGATCCTTTCCCCGGAACTTTTTCTTATCTTGCTTTTTTTCTTTAAGTTCGATGATCTTTATGAATTCAGAATTTTTTGTAATAATTTTGTGGATTGATTTTGATTTGTTGCATTTTTAAAATAAGAAATTTCTTTTTAATAAAAAATAATGTAAATTTCATTCACAAATGGATACTTTTTTTTAACTCTGAAGAATTCTTCTTTAGTCACGAATTATGAACCCTTTAAAGAACAATGATATATAAATATGTAGCACAAAAATGCGATTTTTCTTTTAGACAATAAAAGAATTTTGCCATAACATGAATAGCTAAGGTTATGAAATATCGTTTACGTATTCTCCACAATTTTGTGATACACATTTTTCAGAATTCTTTGTAACAATAATTCTTTTAAATTTCATTTGAAAACTGCAGATAATGAATTTATGTACCACATTCGATACGACATTTTTAATTTTCGTAATCAATAAACTCATGAATGCTAATAATTAGTTATATAACTAGAGTAGTAGCTACAAAGGGGTACCTTTTAAAAGGTTAAATGGACGTACTCCGAAAATTAAATTTATAATTTGTTGATTTGCATAAGGATTTGTTATATCTATTGACGTTAAAGACGATCGTTTAGAAATTACTATTAGTGACTTACGTATTGAGAACACTAATATCAAGAATATTACTAATATATATAGACAATATTCAACCCAAGAAAATACAAAATCATCATTAATTTACAATTACGCCATCGTAAATTTTCGGTACACAATCACACCAACGAACCAACCTGCATATATGCGTAAAATCTATCGGAATAATCCGCTCGTGCAATAGGCAATAAATAAATTACCGAAGTCGTCGGCACCCAATCTTTCTGTCGAGTCGCGCATAACAGATGCCACGCTCATAAATAAGCTTCTCTCTCTCTCTCTCTCTCTCTCCCTCTCCCTCTCTCTCTCTCTCTCTCACTCGCACAAAAAAAGCCGCGAAAGAGTCTTGGCACTCGGCCGTAAAAAAAGCGGGAGATACTCTTATTTACGACTCGGACTAATCAACCTCTCGTTGTTCGCATATTTCGAAAAAAATATTTTTTCTTCAATGATAAAACATCAAATGTATATGTGTTTTGTGATTAAAAAGCGAACATTAGTTTTTGAAAACCAGTTCGTTGGAAATATTGAAAATTCTTGGATGAGGTGATTTAAGTGATTTAATCGGGTAATTGTCGAGACCGAAAAAGAATGCAGAGATAGATAGAAGAGAGAGAGAAACTTTTTTGGTGCTGAATAATATCTGCGAACATGAAATTCCGTTCTTTGTAAAATATGCCTGTTTCCGATAATATTATGATGTTAAAATCGATCGACCTACTGACCTTACGTTAATTATCAACGGTAGAGGACAAAATTAATTTTCTTTCTTTTTCTTTTGTTCGCGGGTGGATCTATCTTTTCCCCTTGTTTTTTCGACTATTTATTATTGATTATCCTCGCTTCAGCTGAATGTTTCTTTCTGCCTTTTTCTCTCTCCGGAATCCCTAGTGCTACTACTGCTTTAGGGCTTTTTCTTTTGTGAGATTGATCTTTCGTTGTGATTGCCATGCTACGCGTTCTTTGCTGAATATAAATCATCGTGTATACAAGTTCGGCTCTGTTCGACTAATACGTCAATCAAGTTATGACATTTTTGTTTTGTTGGGTTTACTCTGTGATACTTATTTTGATAAATAAACGGCGCTTATAAACTCGATAATTATATCATATCAAACGTATCTTATAAATACGGCTTGATAGTTTCTCAGCAGCCAACGTCACGTTACAATACCAACGTGAAATTACAATACCAAGCGAAAAAGAAGAAGAGAGCGAATCTGGATCCCTCCGGCGTAGATACTAAGTTGATCAACGTCAAGTGAAATTAGGGTCGTGGTGACAACTCGAATAACCCATGCAAATTCGCCGGCGAACACAGCAGCGGCAAGCGGAGAGAGATGAGCGCGAGGTGTAACGAAGATAGCGCGCGAGGCGGAGCTCGAAGCTTGTAAACTGACCGGCAAACAGGTGAGAGCTTGAGGAACGATTGGTTAGCGCTGGTTTTACAACGCCGCCGCGAAGCTGATCAAATATTCACACTTTCGTTGTTTGTCTTTGCATGATAATCGAACGTACCAAAAAAAAGGAAATTTAATTAGCTGATAGTTTGCACGCGCGCGAGAGACCGTAAAAAGTCACTGCCAGATTGTAGAGCGGATTTATATTGCTAGGATCGATTTAGCTCGTAAAAGTTCCGCGCGTACGGCAAGCCTATATAATCGCTGTCTCAGCGCAAAAAAAAATTGAAGTCACTCGCGTAGAAGCGCGAGTTTAAGTGCCGTTTCATTGTTTCGAATTAATAACGCGTAAAGCGTTTTCGTTTATTAGTCATCATCGAGAGAAAGGCGTAAAAGTCGCAGGACATCGATCAGCTTCCATTTCCATTTCGCGCTGGTATGTCACATCGAATGTTGTCGCATTAGCGACAAAGTAGATATACCACACCCTTTTATCTAGACGACGACGAGTGTCTCGAGCATGAAATATCGCGCCTTGGAGAGTCATGACTTTGTGAATTTCTTTTTCTCTCTACGTGTTATACAAACGATTTTTTTTTCGAGGAGAGAAAAACGAGAACAAGTGAGTATGACTGATCGAAATATGTTCAATTTCGCTTTTAATGGAACACACACATACACTCACATGTTATGATTTGTGGTATCCTGCGGAGATTTTTCTCGCTTTCTTTTCTGCAAAGGGAAAAGTGATTGGAGTTTGATATCGCGGAGGTTTTTGTATTTGAATCAGGAATGACTTTGACTTTGAATTATTCTCTATCGACCAAATCAGAGACTTGTGATTGGTCCGTACTCATTCCAAAAGTTAAAGTAGAACAAGGCCAATTGCAAAAAAAAAAACAAAAAAAGTAGAAGCAATGGACGATAATATCTGAGGCAGACTGACCGTGTGTGGAGACCAGTTGTGTGGCCAAGTGCGATTCTCATGCTGCTGATGTTGTAGAAAGACAACGCGCCTTTCAGCAGTGCCAGTTGCGGAGGTGGTAAGTAATGCCGTCCGAGCTCGCGTCCCACTCGACGGCGACGCCTCCATGCTTATCTGCGAAATTTACACTTGCTGGGTTATTATCGTCCATCTCGCTTATCACCGCCTAGAAAGATTGATTATGTGGCGCCCTCGCTCGCGGATTATCATTTGCCTGGAGACTCCCGACTGTTCGCTGCGATGATACTTGTTTGTACTTGGCTTATGAGAATTTGATTTATGTGTGTGATCGTGTGTGCGCGCTTACGACAAAGCATAATTACGTCTAAATTACTTTTTCTCTCATTTCGTTGCAAAAATATACGAAAATAACAATGAGTTGACAAAATAATAGCCCAGTAATTTAATTAGGTCTTTCTTCTTTTGAAATATGCATGATACTGAAGCTTGCACAGCTGTATTCTGTGTAACGTTATAACGGCAGAGATAACTCGTAAAACAATATTCTTGTTGAAGCTGTAAATTGATGGCAAACTTCTTGTCAATGAGAATTGCATTAAAGTACGACACCGTGGAAGACAAATATTGAGGTTACTTAGATACATCTCTTACATTTCAAATTGTCTTCTACAGTCGACTTTCAAGGTATAGTACATAGCTTGATGAAATCGCAGTGAAGCTAATATTTGGTATGATACTAACAACTGACAAACTTAGTTTTGTAAAATTCATAAATCATAATGATGACAAGAAGATAAGGACAGAACAATTAATGTTGCTATCATTTAAAAGAGATTATTTTTTAATCTTGCTCGAGAAGGTTAAGGCATTCAGATATGACATTCTGAAGGTTGGCACTGTATAATTTTAATGAATAATTTGAAATTTCGTACTACTCATACGTACTCTGATAATCTTATTAACGATTTACATGTCTTCTTCGTAAGTATCCCAAATATATCACCGAACGATACTTTAATGAACCACTAAAAAACAAAGAATACTATTCAATAACAAGTCAATTCAAACGTATTCATTTCATCATAATAATAGGAGTAGCTTCATTTCGTTGTAAATTGTAAGTAAAAAAAGCAGCATCCGGTAATAACCTAAAAACAACATCGCACGTCTGAATCACGAAACACACAGGTAGCAACAGTAGGATTTCCTTTTCAGCGTGGCGATTAACAATTGAAAATACAGCCGCCTAATCGCGCACTTTAGTGTGGCAAGCTAGCAAGCGCGAGCGTCCACTTAAAATACCTCGTCTGCTGCTGCAAAAGGAAAAGCAATTAACGTGGTTTACAAGCCACATTTTTCCTCGAGAGCATCAGCCCGGCGTGAATTCAAAGCTTGCGCTTACATTTTTTTTCGCCATGCTCGCGGAGCGTTTAAGTCTTGCAAGCTTGTGCCAGAGCGAGGTTTTATTTTTTTGATGTGTGAGAGGTAAATGCTTGTGTTATGTACGTGTGGAAATATAATTTTCGTTAATACGCAGCTTTTTATAGTGATTATGACTTTGCTATTCGTGTATGACTAAGCTGTAACTAAATGGAAAACCTATTTTACTTTCACATAGAAATACTTCGAGTTAAACGAGCGCGAAAAATTATCTCAGTTGTTGTAATGCTTTTACATAGAATAATTACGTGAGTACGAGCGATTAATAAAAATTAAACATACTACTTGTTGTCATTTCTTTTGTTTTTACTGAAGATAGAAAAATATTATTTGCTCAATTACTAGTTGTGCCCATCAGATACAATTGGAATATTAATTTATATGAATGTATCTCAAAAAAAAACATTTTTAATGTTACGTGTAAATTTCATATCGGTTATTTTTATCAAAGCTGAATTAAAATTTTTTTTTGTAATCACATATTTTTTAATGAAAATTTTTATTGGCTCTGTCTTTGTTATTACATTTTAGTATCTGCGTTGGTTAAATAGTGTATTGTATGTGCAAGAGTGATTACATCGAGGATTTAATTACATTGCATGAACAATTTTCAATGAGGATTATTACTTCCTCTGTTAGCACAAGTCATACATCTGACATTAATATATGATATGAATATGTTTGATCAAAAGGAATTCACGTTTTAAAAATATACTAAAGTTTTTTACAGAATGCAGGTAATGGACATTTTTGTTATTATTCTGAGGTAGCTGTATTCAATAAAGTTTCCAGCTTTAATTTATGGATTATAACATCTAAAAACAATTTCTAATTCATCGAAAAAAGTTATTTTTGACAATTTTTTAAAAGCAAAAAAGTTGTTTCAATAGCTTATTTTAACAAGAATATTGTTAGAGTACTTTATAAATTCTCCATTAATTGAATTATTTTATTTATGCGAAGGATCATTGTATTGACTAAATAAACCTAGGGTATTTATGCAACTCACTAACAACTAACAAACAATTTTTTAAAAGAAACACTTGTTTCCTATAGTTTAGACTAGACAACAAAATGAAGGTGCGTTGAGTTTATTTTGCTGTAAATTTTTACTATTTCAAAAATAAGTTCAAGTATACATTAAAAAGTTCGCTTACTGTCAAAGACTATTGCAAGAAAATGTGTTCCTTACTGCACAATTCACCATTTAAAAGCACATAGAACTGAAGAATTTTCAGCAAACCATGTCAAATTTCTCTCGGTATAGTTAAAAAAATTCTTTTTATCTGTGTGGACTGGCGTGTATAAACAATTCAAGCTACGTACTATGATTTTGTTACATAATATCAGAAATAGTTGAATGAGAAAAATTTTGACATACTTTCACAAGAAAAATAGGTTTAACATTCTACTATGGGAATTTCATCCAACTATTTTATCAGAAATTCTGTATCCACTTCCGCGATACTTCGATTGTATACTTTACAACAAGGTCAAATTCATAGGTATATGAACTAGACATATGACACCATGAGATTTTATAGGTTGATTAAACTCGATTTATGAGAGTGACATAGTTTATTTTTCATACACGAATTCATAAAAGTATATCCGATAATTAAAATCTGCATTCAGAAAAATATGAATTTGAATTCCTAAATGTGGTGTATGGTGATGAAATCTCATCAGCAAATAAATAAGTAAACAATCGAAAAATCTTACCATTTCTTAAATAGCGAGTTGCCGGTAACGAGCATCCGGCAAAGTTATCTTCTTTTCTCTTCCTCTATATATCAACAGTTTTCTAGCGTCTGCAACTCCTGTGTAAACATCTACGAAGAAAGGAAGAAACTCTATGTATGTAGTAATGTTTATTGAAAAAGAACGAAAGTGTAGTAGCTACGCGTTTGCGAGATAAACGATAATGACAGCACAATACAGCAAGAAAAATCCAAATGGCAAACATTGCCAGGGAGATAGTTTTCGTTATTTATACGTCTCTGCTCAACGCTATCTAATCTTTTAAACGCGATTTATCGTATTTAACAATAACTACGTAGTACATGTTCGATAAAAAAAGACTTAATTTATTGTATTATAATGTTCTAAATCAAAAGTTTACTTCGTTGTTTCTTTTTCTAATTTTAATTAGCAAACATTTAACAACTCCATGTATGTTTTCGATAAAAAAGACTTGATTTTTAGTACTTCTGACACCGTGAATAGAACGTTTATGCCAATGCTTTGTTTTGATTGGCAAACACGTAGCTAGCCGCAATAAAAATGTAAAATGACTAAAATAAAAATTTACCATCGAGCTCATCACTTGTTGGATAAACGATAACGAAAAATAAAAAAACAAACAAATGAAAACCATAAAGTTTCCAACGCGCACGAGTGACGATCGAGCGTTGAAAAAGGTAAGAGCACGCGATACGTCGCTCGCGGCTTCGCGCACAGCACTGAACCGGAGGAAGCCCAAAAACTCCGCTGCATCTCTTGGTGCGTCCGCGCGCGCTTAGTGCTAGCTCACGTGCTGACTAGTTGGCGCATGCGCCGTGTTATCGTTTTTCGCAGGTGGTCAATGAGGAGACTCATTTTAAGGAATTTTCAAAAGCTAGCTCATTGTAGGTCAATCAATCGGTACATTAGATATTAGGTTAAGACATTTCTTTTCTATGTCAATAAGCGAATACATTTAAAAAATATATATTGAAAAATGCAATGGATATAGCGAGCACCTAGCCAGATTATATAAATTTTTAATGAAGAATTTAGCTCGACTTATACTATTCGACCGCTCATTGACATTAAAAATGGACTTCAGCAAAAAGAAAATTGATGAACGTTTTTATGTAGTGTCATAGATATACTTTTTACCCCTAGAGGTAAATTCATTGGCTCACTTTTTGCGTGTTCGTAAATAAATAACTGTGTAGAAAAAGATAATAAGATAAGAGAAAAATCAATTTTTATCGTTGTATTGAAAATATTTAGCAGATACTCGATATCAAATAAAAATGATCTCGACGGTACGCTATTCGATGTCATTAAGCAGCAAAAGCAATATATGATGTTTGAATTTAATAAATTACTCATACATAAAAATAAAATCACACATGTGTATTTCACGTCATGCGATAGTTAATAACACATCCCCAATCAGATATCGAAACGTGTATCTTTTATCTGCTCTCAGATTGTAGCCTCGGGGAGACGTGTGTGGGATTAGACACAATGTTCACAAAATTAATGATCCGTGCAGCTTATAGTATTATTTAATTAAAATCGATGCATAGCCCGCAGCTTTATCATCATCTTTCCACACAAAATGTAATAAAACACACACTCTCCGCTCAGACGTATTATCAAATGTCGCATACACATGCGTTAATCCAAACTAACGAGCAAAAAAAGGGAAATCCCTAAAAAGCCAAAAGTCCTCAAAGAGAGAAGGTGAAATTCCATCGGTTGGAACGCATTTCGTAATTTCCGGTAGCATTCAGTGAGAGCGAGAGAGAGAGAGCAATCTCTAAGCTCGACCTGATTTCCCGTCGTCGTCGTCGTCGTCGTCGCGACTGCATAATTAAGGAACGCGCTGCTGCTTGTGATTTGGAGATGCTCATTAGGCGGTCATCCGTCCTCCTACTCCTAGCTAAGCTTCAACGAAGAACGTATCGACTTGATGTTGGAAAAACGGACTTTTAATCAAGTCCGTTTTTTCTTCGCTAAGCTCTCTGATATGTGTAGTATGTAGAGGTTAGGTCTTTTTATTTAGGAATATTCGTGCACACCGTATACGTTTCATATTCTTATTAATTTACCTGATTATATTTCATTTTTTCTGTCTAGGACTAAGATGCGGTTGGCTACGAAATGTTTTTCACGTGTTATCTCTTTTGATCTTGTATCAATGTTCCATCCAAACAATATTCTTATGATGCAAAATTCAAATGAAATATATGAAAATAATTTACGTTATTGTTCCTCTTTAATACGTTCAATTTCATACACGTTATAGCTGTAACGCAATTAGAAGGAAGCAACGGAACTATTTATAGAACCTCAGAATACTTGACGGTGTTTATGCGCTCAATTGCTGCTTAATATTGATTTTGTTTTGAAGCAAAGGCCATTGTTCGCTTCCGCTTCCAGTAGTACAAGTCAATCTTACGTCAGACAAAGATTACAACAATAAAGTCTCGCACGCGCGTTCTTTCCATGTGAAAATACACTTTAAAAATATACACATGTCCTCTCGGAGAATATCGTATTACTTGGAAAAAAAGAAGCGAGCGTGGCTGGATGAAGACGGGGAGAGCGCGGAGTTCAAATATGAGTTTAATGCGCAGCCGAGTAATGTTCTCGTATAAATCGCCCAAGCCGGGAAGAGAAAGAGAAAGTCTGAGTAATGGCACGATTACCCTGCTAATCGCTCAAGTCGTTTCATATCTACTTCGGATTTCAAATCTCATATTAATTATACATCTGAATGAAACAAGAACACCTCAGCTTTTGCTAAATCAACGCACGTAACGAAGCGAGTGAGAAAAAGCTGATGGGAAAGGAAAAGAAAAGCAACAACGAGGTTTATCCTGAAACGAGGTCAACGATGGCACTTTCTCTCGCACGGAGCCATGTTTTCGATTTTCCTCGCTTGTCCTTAAAAAAAAAGAAAAAAAAAACGATATGCCTCTTCTTTTCGAGTGTTAACGAAGTTTCAGTACCAAGAAAAAAAATCTCTCGACGCTTAGACGTCGCGCGTATATATACGCGTACGCGAGGGAAGTAATAACCGCGCGAAAAAAGTCGCGTGGTGAAAACTCCAATTTTGCTTTTTCCTTCGTGTTCAAGAGGCCTTTTACAACGAGCCACATTATTACGCACGCACTGATGCTTCTGTGCGGATATTTAACGCTTTTAATATACGTTAACGCGGCTTCTTTTAAATACTGAATCTAATGTTGCCAGGGCGAATATTTTTTTTTCATTTGGAACGAATAGCGAGATTGTTATTGCGCTTAGAAGTACTCTATTTCCATTCTGTTTGATAATACTTTTTTCTTCCGGTAAATGGGAAAGGAAACGAACGATATTGTTCTCTTTCAGAATGGTTGCGACATTCAACGAAATGATGACGATGGTCAACTCGATTATCTTAGCTAGGAAATACATTGTGACGTTAAATTTTGCCATGCAACTTAATTAAGTTTTTGTTGAAACACGAAAATATAGTTTTTTTCTCTAAATTGATAATTAAATACGCTAATAAAAGTTCTAATTAATAAATATAAGTAAGTATTTTTTATTACACGAGATTTTCTTTTTCAAGTGAAAATATTTCTTAAATTTAAAAACATCTGTTCTACTTTAGGAATAAATGTCTTTATTGAATATGAAGAAACTTCCATTAATATTCTATATAAATTCAAATAACAATAAAAATGAGCTAAAGCATTATTAAAAATATAAAATGTTCTTATTACTTTATTTGTAATTGCTATTGTTTTTTTATACCATTATTATTAGGATTCCTGTATTAGTCTAAAAATGTATTTCTTTTCTCAAAAACACTTTCAGTCTATTCAGTTACAGAGAAGCACATTATGTTACGTTGCATCCGATTTAAAAAAAGATCTGTTTATTTTAAGAAATATTTGCGTTGCGCGCGATATGCCAACAACATAACCATCAAACCTATGCAATTTGCACAATAATCCAAATGAAATCCACAATCCTACCAGACATTATATTTACAGCAACAAAGACAACGCAACAAAAGCGCGCAGTTTTGATAATTCAAGCAAGGTACAATCAAAATCCGATTGTTTCCCTCTATACACGCGCGAAGCTTCAAGCCACAGTATAATCGGCTCTTTTCTCCATGGCTGACCTAAATCGTTTCGGCTCTGATTCGCATATAACCTTATAGCGCGATATAATCTAGAAAAAGACGCGCGCTCGTGCGCAATTGTTTTCGACAATGAAAAGGAAATAAATACCTATTGTTATATACAAACTGTACGAAACGCACTAAGAAGAACAGATAGACCAACCGGAGAGAGAGGCAGTCACACATATCGCCCAACGTACACGCGCAAATTTAAAATCACCCCACGTTTTTCAGCACTTGCATGAGCGCCTTTATTTTTATCTTCACCGAGGCCATTTTTCTCTGTCTTCTTAACGACTCGTTTTGATACCGGGCGAGTTTTCCTTTTTTTTCAGCGACTTAATGAGATGGTAATTAATGAGTTATCTGTGCTTTTCTAAGGTAATCACTCGCGCAAACAAAATTTTGCGAGGTTCGCTTATTCTTGCTTTTTTCCATAGAATGCAGTTGAGACTTCGTTGGCCGCAAAAGCATGTGATTTCTAATAACAAGTACCCCTTTTTTCAAATGTATCATTGAACAGCCAATAAATTGGTGTAGTGGAGAGGGAAAAGGACGGCAACGGATAAATCGATTGAAAATTTATTCTCCATAGCTTATATGCGGTCTAATCCCTCTCTCTCTCTCTCTCTCTCTTTGACGCGTGTTGCGGCCATTTTATTTATGCAGTCTGTCGCAGCCATTTCGCGTTTGCAAACCAGTTAATGGCTTTCAATTTCCGTTGGCCATCAATAATATTTAGCTTTCGTAGCTGCTGCTGCTGCTGCTGCGGCGGCGGCGTACCTTATGCTACTCACGCGATTCCCAAGGAAATTACTTGTCTTCTTGAAGCGGCAGCGTCTTCGTATATACGAGATCGCTCGCGCAGATTTTCGGAGGGAGATGGGTGGGGGGCAATGCCGCGCTATTTATTTGTTTATTTACGGACGCGTTTGTTCGTACCATCACGTCTTTCGCCTGCTCGTTACTCATGTTTTATCTAATTCGCGCAGCGCGCGCACGCTGCTCCCGCACAGTTGCCAGCAAAATTATCTCGTGATTGAGTGCTTTTGTCGTTAGTATGAACGCTGGCAAAGTTTTCAAATGGAATTTATAACGTCTGCTCTCTGAAGTGTCTTACGTGCGTGGTAACTTACGAGACTGTGATATTGCTTGAGCTTTATGAAATCACAAGTTACGTTTTAATTCTTTCACGAACACTACTTGACCGTCAGAAAACCATTTCTTAAAGTAAGAACAATTTTTTTCTTCGCGGAGGATGCAGCACGGATAAGAACGTTGCTAAAATTAGGAATCGTATTCTTAAAATGAGAAATGAATTCTTTGATTGGTATAGTAAATGTTTTAATAGACTACAGATCAGTGACAAAATTTGTGTTTTAATAAATTTATTTAAATTCAAAAAATCAGTTAATACTTTTACCTTATTTAAAATATGAAATATTTCAAGAATATGAAATGTTTCGCTTAAATTTTTCTAACCTAAGAACGTCGACAATTAAGCATGCAAACTCAAATAAGAAAACTCGTTTCGTAACGTTCAGAATTTTTTTCA